AAATAAACGAAATATTTGCTGACCTTGTGCGTACAGAACAGCCTGGGTTGAATCTTGGGAGGAATTACCTCTGGGAGAGGTGAAAAAGGGAGTAACTGACAACTTCTAATTTTAACATGATATGCCATGAGGTGAGATTAATTTTTAATTCTTAGGTGTGAGAGGTCAATAACTACTTTAGAAAGGAAACCACTACCTGTCATATAAGGTAGAGTCTAGAGAAAAATGGTACCAGTTCAAAGGAAACCAATTACTTTCTTTAAGGTCATTTAAAAATAATCTCACTGATACTCACCGCTTCACATTTTCACAGCATCCATTTCCCTTGCTCCACTTATTTCAGTTCCAGTAACAACAGAACGTTTGAGTAATTATACATCAAAAGTTTTAAATGCAATGAGGAAAAAAGAAAACCCTTTAAGATATTCTCACGAGTGAGTTTCAAATAATTCTATATGCAGTGATCGAGTTATCAAAGAGCAAATTTAGAAAACAATCTGCAAGTTTAGGGCTTGTAAAGACTATTTAATTAGGAAGAAGCCAAATAAATTTCTATTGCTTAATATACAGCAAAAATTCTATATTAAAGCACTAGTTTACACTATTCCGAGGTAATCAATTCCCCTAAATGAGGTCATTTGTGATCTTAAATGAAGAATTTATGAGCGTGCAGCTGTTTTTCATCTCTTTCCACCCTCTAAGTTAGTATATTATAAGAAGACCGGATTTTGCTGTGTTTTGGAACTTCAGATTCAGGTTAAATTTCACCACTCTGTTCTGCTTCACTTATTCTCACTGATTCACTTGACCTTTGAACACAAGTTTTCCATTTGGTAAATTTGTTTGAAGATTTAGTAGCCAAACAGGGTCCAAGGAAAACAAAACATGAAACAAAAGTCTAATGCCTGGCAAAGATTATGAGACTTTCGGATGGATAAAAACAATATCATGATTATTTAAGGATCTCAGAAATATCTGGTCACATGTCTAATTTAGGATCACTAAGAAAATAGAGGTGATTCACTTATTCCCCAACTCTTTTGTTTTGCTTCCACTTTCAAAATTTTGATAAAGAGGATGAAGACTGATTTGAAATTAGCTAATTTAAAAAAGGAACCATAATATCAATGAAATTATAAAATAATTTAACATTCTGTTATGTTTCAAGGCTGCATAGTATTCTAGCAAGCTAATCATGGCTGAAATTGAATATAAAACATACTTGAAACCCTTGCCACTCCATATGTGACTTAACTTCAGAACAAATTCAGACTTCGTGAAATATATTGATGTCAGACTATTGGACAATTTTCTTATTGTGGCCACAAATCCAGACCACACTTTTCTGGGTAAAGATGAGATGTGCTCTGAAGAGAGTAAATGTTTTCACTGCCAGTTTCCCAGGGGAAGGGTCAATTCTCCAGCAGGAAGTGAGGAGTAAGAGCTTCAGGCTGGGGTGAAGGAAAATCTTCATTTTTCTTAGGATAGATGCCAGTTTGGCTCAGACTAAAGATGTGATGGTATACAGAATGCTTCCAGTGGGGGTGGTTCAGCTAGCTACTTCTGGAGTCTTGGAAACAGGTGGTAAAGAAAAGACAGCTTGGTGAGAGGCAAGAGTCCCACTGGGTCTGAGCAGCTCTCATCAATTATTCTATGAAATTTTCCTCCTGTTATTCTGGAACATCCACAAAGTCTGGTCTCTGTTGTGCTGTGGTAATATGGGACAAGTTCTTCCCACAGGGCCAAACACGATGGGAGGAGGAGGTCACAACAGAAGATGGCAGTGCCCAGTGAAACAGCGGGAAAATCTCAAGCACCACTTTTGCCAGACAAGATAACATCAATTTGAGGTTAAATAAGGAAGATACTTAATGGTTTTCAAGTATTTAAAAATCCATCCATATTTTAGTTGGGTAGGTTCTCGGAAACACTTCCAAAGGGAAGGAGAAATTCTAGGATTATGCTGGCACGTATTCTCCAAGCCCTTTCTAATTCTAGGAATTTCTGCAGCTAGTGAGAGGGAACTGATATTCACATAAGAATTGTAATTTTTTAAAAACATCTGCTGATAGAAAATGGGGGCAATAAAGTCTTAAGAAACTAAAGAACTGCTGCCAATGAAAAGGAAAAAAGAAAATACATGTGATCAGAGAATAAAGAATAGGAGAAGACGGTTCAAAGAGCCAGAAATTCAAAGACAAAAAGTGAGAGGAAATTCAACCAGGCAAGTAGGTTTATAACTTACTTTTTATAAACAATAAATCATTTCTATGCCCGATTATTCTAAGCACAATAGTTACTGTCACTTCATCAACTAAAATTACATATTATATAAACATACTTAGTATGAAAAAGCAAGTTTTAATATTTTAAAGAAAAATCCAACTATTAAAATGTCTTTTATTCGTCTCTGACACACACACACACACACACACACACATACACCAGTACAAATACAGGAAGAAAGCCTTGTTTAAGACAAAAGGACAAGTTGAATCATTACTTCTCTTTCAAACTACTTTCTGGTTATCATTATCCTTCTACAAACTAACAAAAAAAATTAATGAGAAGTGAAATTCAACCTAAATTCTACCAGGAATGTAATTCTAGTGCTATAGGTACAGGAGGAGGAAAGACAATGCACTTTAGAATAAGTTCTATGAAAACAAGATTTGAAGTTGACAAAAGTCAGTACTTGTTGAGTTGTTAAAAGACACTGTACTCAAATTAGTTCTATGATGGCACATCATCAAGCAGTTGTACAAATGAGTAGGTACTTTAATCTAATCTTCTATTAGCCATTCGATAAAAAACCAAATAGCCGAACTCCTAGGGCTTAATTTCATAAAAAAAAAGTGAATGAATATTTCATTACTGCAATGTAAGCAGCTATATTCAACTGCACTGTACGGAGGCAATATATAAAACAGAGAATATAAATGCCCTGGACAAATTTTCAGTCCTGGAAAAAAGAAACATCAGTAACAGAATATGAGAAACACTAGCAAACAACTGGTGGTTCTTTTGGCAGAAATGATGCAACACAAAGATAGCTTCAAGAACTTGTTAATCTAAAAATAAAAAGCCAGAAAGAAGAAACAAGTGTTAATTTGAGATAAAAAAGAATATTTGGGAAGCAATGATTCAGGCAAAAACCCAAATAGTGTTTTGATTAGGTGGTGAAGGCAACGGGGTTTTTATGAGAAAGGGAAATAATTACATGAGTAGAAGGAAAGAATTTCTATAGGTGCATATAAACTAAGTTATTCTTTAACTAGACATGGTGGTGCTAATTCTAAAGCATGTCTTTAATTTTCAGTCTGTATTCAGGACGCCTGCTTTCCTGTTAGCTTTGTAAACAGTTGTTTGAAATACTATGTTGGTTTGGCCCAACGGTTATTTTTTCCAGTTCAAACATACCACCGTTTTGAGTAGTAAGACATGCAAGGTGTTCCTTTAGAATGGCTGCTCTCGCTCTATTTTAAAATGGCTCTACTTATGTTAACTTTTCACAACTATAGTAGTTATAGTTCTAAGCAGCAATATTAAATTATTAGTGAAAAGTCAAACTCATGGCAAAACAAAGTTTATTTCCATGTTTTACTAATACTGACAGATTTATCCGGAGAATGTCAATATTGCTGAACTTAATCAACTTTAGTTGTTAAATGTTCATTTAGTCTTAATTAAACAAAGGAATTTCTATTTGGACAATCTATATTGTCAGCATTATTAGATCTGACGTTTGAGGTAGAGCCCTTCCCTTCAGGAAGAAGATCAATCCAGCAATAATTTTGTATCCTTCCCAGGACTATACCTTTGCGGAACTTTTAATAGGTAGTAAATCTGTATGTATTTAGGCAAATAAATCTTTCTCTAATAACTTATCAGTAAACAGTACAACTAAATACAACTAATTGGAAAACATGGGATTAATCTGAATAAATCACAGACCTTTGAAACTAGAGCAATACAAAGTGGCATTTATCTCCTTAGCTTTTCTAAAGCTGTTTAATCCAAATAACAGCATGTGTGTATGGAGATGTGTATACATACATACATACATGTACATATGCACGAACAAGGGACATACTGGGTAGATTACTGAAAATTGAGACATATAGGCTAGACTCAAGGGGCTTATGAACATTTGTAATCATTTGCTTTGGAAGAGGTAGGTTAAATTTTATTCATATCTTACAAAGTCCCAGACTGATCTAATATCAATAAACCTGAGCTTTGGATGAAATATGCCTAAAGACACAAAGTATGTGGCATTTCAGTGAGCCTTCACATGTGCCCAAAGCATGATTAAGCACAGGTGGAAACATTTTTTTTTTTAACACAGTAAGAACAAAGAACTTCATAAATATAACTAACTTATAAAGTACATTAAATGTGTCATTCAGGTCTCAGATCAAATATTACTTCCTTAGAGGTCCGCCTTCACACCCCCACCCAGAAAATTGCTCTAATATATCACTCTGTTTTATTTTCCTAACACTACTCTCTGAAATATCTTGTTCATTCACCTATCATCTAGCTGTAAAATTAAGGCTCTATAAGAGCAAGAATACTGTATGTCTTGCTCATCTCCGACTATATTTCTAGTAGATGCTAGGCATGATTGTTTGAATAATTAGTTGAATATATGAATTTCTCAGTGTATATGATAGATCAAAATATACTAACAGAAAAGCAATCTTTCTTTCTATATATAGTATACATATATACCTACACACACACACACACATCTAGACTTCAGAGTACATGTTTCTATTTTAAGGTACATTATTCAAAATCAGAGGTGAAATATTTTGTTGTTTTGAATAAAAATAATATATACTGTAGTAAAAATTACTTAAGCCTATTCAAAGTAAAGAACTTTGATAGGAAAACAATTTAAATTAATATTTTTGGTAAAATGACCAAAAAATTACCCATAAAAGACAATGTTTCTCCCACAACTTCTACATCAGTTAAATAATCAGATAAAACAGTTTTAAACATGGTAATTTATTTTATGCAGTTGTTTAAATCCACTTTAAAAATGTTCAAAAGGCACTTTAAGAAACATATTTAAAAATACATTTCTCTGACTTATCGGTGATCACTTAAAATAAGCAAGTCACCAGACATTTTTAAACCATTCATGATACTATTATCTTACATAATTTTTAATTCAAAAACACAACTATTCACTGTGTAATATAGCACACTGCTTAGCAGTAAGATTAGTTTCCCTCTAATAATATACTTTATATGGACTATTAATTTGCAGAGCCCTGCAAAGTTATTTAAACTGATATAAACTGAAAACTAGAGAAGGTAAAGAAGTCGAAATAGAACACTAGTGTTAGAGTTGGTTTCTCTAGAGAATTTGTAAAATTTCTTATTCTAATCTGTATTAAAATTATATTTCAACTCCAATATATAAACAAGTCATTTTCTTAATCAATAGAGGTTACGTTTAGCATAAAATAAACCACAGGTTGCCCCCCAGATTTCTTGAGTATGTTTCTGTCAGGCCTACTGTTAAGAAGTAGAGAAATGAGGAAAGTGAGTTTCTTGTTTGTTTTTGAGAAAAAGGAGGTGGTGGTGGTGGAATCCAAATAACTTTACTTCATTTAATAGTTGTATATCTAGAATTTGTTTAAAGCTGTGGACTTTTAAGTAGGGCAAGTATCCTGAGAACCAGCAGGCATTATTCTTGGATCTTTACTTCTAATCTCATATGGAAAATTAAAATTAATAGGTATAAAATGATAAGTGATACAAATTCTAATCACAAATAACAGACAAATTAACCATGTGAAAGCAGCATTAATAGTTAGAAAACAGAAATTAGTTATAAAGGAATTAAAGAAGGGCAATAAATACAAAGAAGCAGAAACTGTCAAAGACAATAAATTAACTGAACACTTAAATGGTGACTAAAAGGATAGACTTGGTCTAATCAATAGAGGGATTTTTTTCAAGCCTCAATCTGGTAATAATATGGTTTGATAGGCTCAAGGAAGTGAAAAATCAATACTCAAGAAAGAATTATGAAAAAAAAGTCAGCAAATTTAATGTTCAAATCCAATTACCATATTTCAAAAAATATTAAAAACTGGTCAATAATTTATTTTTGACTTTTTTTTACAGTAGTTAACAAAAACTTCTCTGAAATTTAAGGTATTTGAAAACAAATAATTGAACTCTGGCCCAACAATCTGCTTTGTATCATCTATGAACCTCCCAACTGAAAATATAAGTATACTATTATTGGAGAACATAATATAGCAAAAACTTTATAAGACCACACTAAGATCATTTATTCAAATGACAGAGATCTTAATTTAAAAGGTAAGTCATTATCATCATGAAATCTGGTTTCAAGAGATCTACCAAATACTTGAAGAATTTTTTGTTTTATTAGGTCATATAAAACAATTAACTGATTCTTGAAAGTGATGAAATTTTGATAGTATGAATTAGCAAAAAAAATTCTATAAATGTTTTTAAAATGTTTTCATAAAATATTGTAAAAGTGTTTTTCTACCTCTGTGTAAAATTTTTTACTAACAACTGTGAACATTTCTGATGACTCATTTCAGTGTGCTTTTAATGAATTAGTATGTACTTATTAGTACTTAATGAACCCTTGCTACCTCAATGTGAAATTACTAAACTTGGAGATTTAAGATTTTACTGTGGGCTCTGATATTAGTCACTCTGAAGAAGCTAAAGAATTTTGCCAAAATGAATGATCCACTGACCCTTTAAATCATCTTTAAAGTCTTTTACATTTTATACAGTTAATCTTGGACTACATATATTTAAAACATGCTTTATTTAAATCTTTGAAAGATGCCTTACTTATGGGGCAGTGATCCTCAGCATGTTTCAAGGATTATCTGCATCACCCAGATGTTAGGGCAAAGGTTTCAAACTGAAGGGCTTGTCTAAACATAACTGCTAGTCTTCCCTGCAGAGTTTCTGATTCAGTAGGTCTGGGACGGGGCCCGGGAGACTGCATTTCCAAGTTCCCAAGCGATGCTGATACTACAGGTTGGAACCACACTTGGTAGGAATGCATACTCTTGGGCCTCATACTAGATTCAGAATTTCTGGGATTGGGGCCTTAAAATCTGCATTATAAGAAGCTCCTGGGAGCTTTATATGAACCACAATTTGAGAAGCACTATGACAATCTAGTTAATTTTACTATTACTGGCCAATGTATCAGATGTCACACGTCAATAAATAAAAATAGAAATAATGCTAAATGACTAACCTCAAGGCTGACATGGTACAAAGAACACACAAGATTTGAGTATAAGTCTTAGCTCTGTTACTTATCAATTTTGTGACAGTGGAACACTTTAATTCTTTGAGCCTCAGTTTTCTCATCTATCGTATGGGAATCACATCCAATTTGTGAGGATTAACACTAATGTACACAGACTATCTAAACACAGTACTTGACATACAGTAGGCACCAGATAAAAACTAGCTATTACTTATAAGAAATGTACAAAATATTTCCTTCAATATTTGATTTGATTAAAGCAGATTTTTCATTCATTGAAAACAAATACTTATACTCCAAGTTAAGAGAATAATAAAACCTTAATCTTATTGCTCCACACTCTGGGCCAGACAGTATTCTAAAAGCCATATGTATATTCACTCATTTAATCCTCATAAGAATCCTGTGAGGTAGGTAGTATTACTGTCCCTAATTTATAGATGAGGTAATTGAGGCACAGAGATATTAAGTAAATTGCTGAAGGTTACAAAACTATAAGTGATGGAGCAAGAATTTAAACCCAGGCAGTCTGACGCTAGACCACAGGATTCATCACAATGTTAATTTCCTACGAGTAAATTTTAAGGTTTTTGGATGTTTATGATAAACCATTTATACTTCTAGTAGAGAAAAGTAGCATATATGGACTCAAATAAATTCATATCCACACCAAGGTGAAGAACTGTTCAAAGAATAGAATAAATGCCTTAATTTTGGCAGATGATACCACCATGAAAACAATAGTAAACAATTTAATAGGTAAAAATTGGTGTGAGTTTTCACTATGTGGACAGAATATCCATAATTAACCACGAAGATGAACATCCTCTCAAATATAGCATCCAAAGAGGTCGTGGTTTTGACATGTTTTGGCACAATAAATATAAACTATTTAGCTAAGCAGCAGAGTCAATGGCGTTGATAGCCATGTAAAATAAGCATAATGATAAGCATAAATGTAAATTGTTTGTAACATTTAAGATAATCTTATAGAAAATCTGTAAAATATTTTTTATGATACACTCAGATAGTATTGCTAAAGATAACAAAAAATAAAACATTTTTTTCCTTCCAGAAATTCTTTAGAGGGTCACTAAATTGGAACAAAACATTTATGAATGTGTTTTTGATGACAGTCTTGAATGGGTATTCTGCTCAGTGTGAATTATCTACCCACTGACAAAACAATCATCCCTAAATAGTAAGTCAGCATCAAAAGTCAGGCTGTTATTTGGTCTTTTAACAGCTGACATATTTCAACTCGTTTAAGCATTCTGCATTTTCTAATTTATTTAATTAACTCTGGTCAAAATCTTGCATTCATATTATTTTGCCAGTAACTAATAGCCATCTCAGATGCTAAAAATGAATTTCAAAACTCTGCTTTAAACAAGTTATGAAAGGCACAAACAAGTTCTCATCTCTCAACAGGATGAGAATGAAAGGAACTGTAACTATGTAGTTAGAAAGTTTTAAATAATTGATTAAAAATGTCGCTTAGTAATTCCTGAGAGTGGCACTGATATAAGAAAAGCATTTCCAACTAGCACAGATTTACTATTTATTAATTACCCATAATTAATAATGGGTAGATATGGGAACAAAATATTTAAAAATCCATATTTACCAAATGCCTTGAGTAAATAAATATTAATAGTTGAAAATGGTATCCAAGAATGGTTAAACACATTTAGAAGAGACAGCAGGGACTCAGTATAGGCATACCTTCCTTAGAGATATTGTGGGTTCAGTTCCAGACCACCGCAATAAAGTAGTCTCGCAATAAAGCGAGTTGTAATCTTTTTGCTTGTGGAGGTCTTACCTTTAATTTGTAAAAAATGTAACATATATGGAGCACAATAAAGCAAAGCGCAATAAAACAAGGTATGCCTGTAAAAGATTAATTAGAACCAAATATATATAAAATACAGTCAAGGCCCATGACAATTTCAAAATGTGGTTTTATTAATGCACTTTAGGACAAGTGCCATTCTTATTCTACCTTCTTCTGGAAGAAATACTGTCAATTATAAATAGTAACAGCAAAATGGTGATTAGCCAAAAACTGCACATGGGTATGTGTGGGGAAGTTTGGTTCATTTGTGTCATACTGCAAATATAAACTCATGTCTTGAGTTTATAAACAACACTGAGCAACAATATTTCCTTCTAAAATTTTCTTTAAGGCAGATCTGTTCAGCATCGTGTGTGTTACTAACATGGTGCATTGCAGTTTTAGCAAATTTAACTATTTTTATTTCCCAGTGAAAATAATACATGTGGTCAGGAACAGACAACAAAATCTCTTTTCTAGTCCCTCTGCCTGGCCATCATTATAAAAACACAAGTTTTTCATATACATATATATATATACACATATATATATTACTGTATCAAAACACATTTTAACAGATTTTGCAGCTCATTAAAGCTTCAGTTTACAGTCACTTATATGAAAGATTTCTAATATGGAATGTTCACTCAGAAAGAATTCCTCACTGGAATTCCAGTGTTCTTTATCAGAAATGCAGAAGTTCTTCTTCAGTGCAATGTGAGACATTTTACCTCTGTTCATTTATGTTTTCCTTTCGAGGTTTCCCAATTTTACTTTTGGATCTTCGTTTTTGTTGGCTCGATTTATTTCCTTTAGTATATTCTCAGGTAAGGCAGGTTGATATCTGTATAAATATCCATATGGACGAAGATGATAAACGAGGTATTCTAACTCATACATAGTTGTAGGATCAACATAGTGAAAAGAAACTGCAAGATCAGAACAGCAACCAGGACCCTAAAAAAGTAGTGGAAACAGGTATTACTAATAAATATCATGTTATCAACATACAGCATTCACATACTGATAAAGGAAACACTAATTTTAAAAGAATCCAATAATGAAAGCTGGCAAGGTTTTAAAGAGGCACCTAATTTATTAGACCTGTGGAAGAACTAGTTTCTAATGATTTAAAACCAAACATGACATTAATAATATCTAATTGAAGTAATATTCTCTCATACTCAACAGTGTTTTAGCAGAAAAAAATCTTGAGACTTCTTTAAACGAAAGGGGCAGCCATACAAACACTAAAGCTCTATTTCTTCAAGTTTTGCTTCCTCTTCATGTTCTCACTATAAATTTTTGCTTGGCTCAACTTTAGAAAGACACCTTTGGAGCATTCAATGACAAAAAGCCTTGCCTACTATGTTAGCTATTATTGACAGGCGGCCCTCAGTAAGTCAGTTAAACCTTTGTTTGGTTATATAATTTTCACTCATTACTAAACAGTTGGTATGAGTAAAGGTTTAAAACAAGACAAAAACAAAATAACAAAAATACAACAAACAGGAATGAAAAAGCATGAAAATAAAAAAACTGATCACAGAATTAAAGTCATAGGAGATTTGGGGATCAGAATTGGCACCTGGAGGATGTTTCACCCAGGTGACACCAAGAAAATTTGACTCTAATGTCTTTACAAGGACTCAAGGAGAAAGACAGTCTGGCAAATTCCTGGAGAAGATTCATAAAGACATATTAAACTAAACATTTAATGATTCATGCTTGGAAGTATGTACCTTACAATGCAGTAAAAATTATCAAGAAATTGTACATTATATTTTCTGTGGCCTTCTCTTTGAACTTCTCCTTTGAAACAAACACTGGATATGTGAGAGTCTTGGATAACTATGTAGATACTGAACAATTATCTGGTGCCTACTTATATACATTTAGGAAAAAGGAATAAATATGAAAAGTAAACATATAAGTCAATTTGTGATTACCCAAACCAGCTCTGTCCAATAGATGTATGTGAACCACATAATGCAGTTTAAGATTTTCTAGTAGCTACATTTAAGAAGTAAAAATAGGTAAAATTACTTTGAAGGTATTTTATTTAATTGAATAAATTCATGTTATTTTTTCAATATGCAATTAATATTTTAAAACTTATTAATAAAGTCATTCTTTTTAGTTGTGCTAAAGGCTTGAAATCAGGTGTGAATCTTATACTTACAGCACATCTCAATTTTGACTAGGCACATTTCAAGAGCTTAATATAGTTAATATATGGTTAGCAGCTACTGGACTGGCCAGTATATATTAAACTAAAAGAGTAGAACAATAGCAGTTAATTTTAAATTGCTGATCCTCTATGGAAGCAATTTTATATGAACTCTAAAATATTGTATTAATATTTTTGATAAGATTTACTGCATTATGTTACACTTTATAGCATTATTGTTTACTGAATAGCTAGAGTATTGTTATTACTAAGCAATATAAACAATAAAAGACAATAAAAAATAGCTAGAATTATTAGAAATAAAATAGTTCTATGATTATGGTTACCCCTAAAACTTAAGAGTCAAGTGGAAAATCATCAGAAATAAAGAATCCAAGAATAGAGCAAGATTTTTGAGATGCTTTAAAAAAACTAGTTTTCATATAGACCAGTTAAAAAGTTTTAAGAAAGAGCCCAAGTAGAATAGTAACAAAAATATTAAATATCTAAGGAATACTTAAAAGAAGAAAAAAAGATCTGAAGAAAACTATAAAACTTTACAAAGGGACCTAAAGAAAACAAAAAATCTTGGGCAAAGATGTTCACAGTCCCTAAATTAACAAATTTATACACAAAGATAAAGACATGAGAGTTGCCAAAACAATTTCAAAGAAAGAGAGAGAAATAAAGGAGAGAAATACACTCTTAGATTAATAACTTAAATATTCTGTAAAGCTACAAGGTACAAACAACATGGTGCTGAGTCAAAACCAAATAGAACAATGGAAGAGAACTGAAATTCCAAACACTAATCCCACTATAAGTAATGCTATAGTGTATGATAAAGGAGGTATTTTAAATCAATAGTGAAAGTAAGACTCAGTAAAAAATGGAACTGGAATAATCAGTTAACGATTTGGAAAAATCACGAGCTCTCTAACAACCATATGCCAGTAAGTTTCAGATGTAATATAAATAAAATTGAAGAATAGAATAAGTCATATCTGATCAGTTCTGACCTATGAAAAAGGCAGTTTCACATGTAAAAGGATGGATATATACACAAACATCTATGTATATTTTACACATCTATTTTAAATTCACCATAAGAAGACTGCATTCTCTGGTG